CATTACCGCTCTCAGGCTGTCTCCCACCGCATCTCCTGTGAGGATCTTTTAACCCACAGGTGGACCTACCAGTTCTTTTATCAAGATTTCTCCCTGAAATGGTATTTCTGTGGCTAAGGGTTGGATGCTGGGATGGAGGGTGGAGAAGAGTTAGCCAAAATCTGTTCACTAAAAGTGTCATCAGTTCATAGTCCCAGATCAAAGGTGAATAGTGGAGTTATACAAATCACAAGGAGGAAAGGGTTAAGGATCTCAGCTCAGCATGGGTGCATCTGCCAAGGTGTGAATCCAACCACCATTGATTAAGATTCAGCATGAGCTTTCTGTGTTGCAATTAGCAGTTGATAGATGGTCTTACTGAGTTCTGAAGAGTGTAGCAGTTTGAACGACTATTTGAGCATTGATCACCGAGCAAAGGCCTTCTTTGAGCTTTTGTTTAAGTAACCGTTAATAAGCAAATGAATATAATTAGTCTGAGGTGTGGCCGCATGAAGGCTACAGCTCAGGGCACGCTTAAGGACAGGTGGACTCTATTAAAGGCAGCTAATGTTGCTGTTAATTAATGCTACTGAGTGATGTCAAGTAGGCGCACAGTTTAGGGCAATGCAAGGAAGAACCTTGAATTCCATTAGCATGTCAACTGAGATCGCTATGCTCCCTTCTGTAAAGGATCTTAACTATTTCTAGAAATAACTATGTGTCATTATTCAAGATACACTTTTTATCCCAAATGGCTGCATGCTACTTTGCCAGATTCCCAAATACTTCAACGACAGCGAATGGCAACGGCAACTGAAACGAAGCTTCTAATGTGTCGGGAGCACCAAAATACGCTTTCGTCTTCACAAGCAATTCCACTTCCCTGATATGAGCAAATTCCATAGTTTCGTAAAACTCTAGGATGAATTAATTCTCTTTCGGCACTTATGTGACAATTATTACAAATTAAGGAAATAATAGGTATGTACCATCTCATTAAGTTCTAAATCTAAATTAATTACATTTAAACATCTGACTTCATCAAGCTCAAAGTTCCCATACAAGCCATTGAAAAATGTGATTTGGAAAGAATGATCACTTTAGAGAAAAACAAATAGCTGCCTTTCTCTGTGTTCCTCTCCAACCTCTTATTCAGTTTTTCTCTGACTGGCTTTCCTTTGGAACTTGTATGTGACTTTTGTCCTGTTTGGTCAAGGATGAGCTTTTTTGTGTTTTGTTGTGTTTGGGGTAGAGTTTAAATACATACAGATTCCCATCAGTACTGAACTCTGGAAGGCAGACTCGTTGTCTGCTTGTGAACATCAAGTGTTGGTGCTAAGGTTCGATACAGGTTTAGTCACCCATTTTAATTGTCAACGAGCCTCCCTGCTGTTCACTTTGAAGCTGTCTTTCTATTTAAAAAAGTCTGTAAAGGAGAGGTGGTCTGCAAGAGGAGGGGGAGGAATGTGGGAGAGAACAAAACCACTTGCACATCTCAGAGGAAACCGTCCGTCGCCGGAAGTGCGACAGACGTAGTAAAGACCTGGGCCACAGACAAGAACGCACTGTTCGCTGATGGTACAGAAATGTGGAAGTGAGGCATCAGTACAATTTTTGAAGAATTCAAAACAGATTTGCATACAGGGATGGATTTTATGAAGTTTTTCTCCTTAACTAATCTTACTTGCAATGGGTAAACAAATTAATCTGGAGTGCGCTGTTGGCTACATAAGGATATAATGGCACTTTGTCAAGTAATTAGCCACCCAGGAAGTAAGCAAGTCATAGTTTGGAAAATTAGTACTGAGTCTATGAGCTTAGACTCCACCATGACTAAAGGCTACTGGTCAAGAAATCGGTTGATTATAACATAGAATTCACTGGAACTAAAGATGGAGAAGTTTCCTGTGCTTGGTTTATACACAGCCATCTCTTTTAAAGTTTGGGAGAGGATCTGAACTTTAAAACTCACAGACAGGCCACTTTCTTTATCTAACAGTCTCCATTATTGCATGCTTCTGATCTTCACTTCCCTTCAGTTGGTAATAGCAGATGGATCAAAGCCAGAGTACAGCTTGTTTAAGTCCCAAAATACTCTACACATCACTTCTATTTCAGATAACAAGCTGTATAAATTAAAACATGGCTAAACTTGTCAACACCCATCAGGATCTGAAATTCAAGCAATGTTATAATCTCTCATCCCTCTGTCCATGTTTAGAATGCACAGCTCTACCTTTGCTAGCTAGAGACGAGTGAGAAAGTCTAACAGCCGTCAACACATTGCTCTAGCCACATCCAAGTACTCCACATGCATTATCTTTAGGAACAATAACACATCCGTGGTGTTGGAAAGACCAGCTGTATACCCAAGTTCACTGTGTTTACCTTTATGAATAACAAGTCAGGGCCAGCTCAAGATCTCACACACAAAGGAGTCCCTGAGAGGAAAGCAGCAGGGGGTACCCTAGAAGTGCTCCTGGCATTTCTTTTACTCCTCAAACCTTGGCGAAGTTCCACAATTTAAACTGTACCCACTGCACTCAGATGCCACTGTTCAAGGCTTTTTTTTACTTGACATACGACTGCCTGCACTATTTTCTTCATCATCCATGATCAGTGGGGACCTAGGACCACTGATGGAGAAAGCAAAGCAGAGGCCAGCTTCCAGTAAGGCAAGACTGTGTGGATCCTTGTACTCACCTGGATCAATGTCCAAATGAGCTTGAATAGTAAACCTCTTCCCCTGCACGGGTTCTCCCTTGTCTATATTGATAGGAATGATCCTGTCCACGTTGCTGTGTCTGTAATCCTGGAAAACCAGCTGCTTTGCTCGCACGCTGGCTTGAAGAGCTCACTACAGACTTCTACCTCCCTAGCCCAAGAGCTCCCCACTTTGCTGAGGACCCAGCCAAGTCTGAATGAAGAGCAAACTGCTTCTCCACTCTCTTGGATCTAAGGACCCCAGGCAGGAGTTGGCTGGCTGGTCCCATACTGATCATGATGCCATCACAACACCTTCCTGACACTGTGTCTAACACAGAGTTACAGAAGAGTATGTGAGGAGCAGGGACCAATGGAAGCTTTCTGTGAGCCCGAGACACTTGGTTCAACTGTTTCTTCAGGGTCTCTCTCTCTCTCTCTCTCTCTCTCTCTCTCTCTCTCTCTCTCTCTCTCCCCCC